TTTAAATGTTGCAGTTTTCTTCATAACTAAGGTCCGGCGGTACTTCCTTGGGTCATATAAGCAAGATTATCAGTTACTATTTCAAGATTTTGTATATTCATTTTAAACTTTAACTTTCACAATAAATCTGGCCAAGTGTTTCGATATATATTTGTATATATTTTCAACATGTTCGTTCCTTTTTGCATCAGAAGAAAGAGTTACTTCTAAGTGTTTAGGAATATCGTTGAGAATAGTGTAAACAATTTCATCATGAATCAAAATGGTCATAATCGCCTTAAGTTTCAAAATGCTTACAACTTCCAACTTTCTTTCATTGTCTGATTTTTTATTCAAAGTTTTTTGAAGATGTCAATATTGTAACCAACTAGTGTTTGAATTACACCAAAAATAATGGCACAGTCAGGAACCTTATGTTCAGTGGTTGTCGCTTGTTGATGAGGTTCATAAGTGGATCTAGTTTCTTTTTTATATGGATCAGACCTTTGGTTTTCCTGTTTGTATGAGTTTACGCTAGTCCTTATTGGGACCCTTTATAGCTTGATGTTTGGTGTGAGCCAAGGCTACGTGTTGAAGGCCGTACTTTGACATATAATGGTTTAAATTTACAAATTGTGACTTGGATGGAGAGTTATCTCATTGGCACTCATACCACTTCTTAAGATTACCAGTTGCCTTAGTTACAGGGTCATGAGACGAAAATAAAGGGAAAAACAGGTATAATAGACAAACGGAAAAGTAGGGACATACATTTAATAGAGTAGTCCGATGTCGGTAATCTGCATCTTTTCTGCCTGCATGGCCCTGATGCATGTATACATTTTCTGTTGATAATCAATTTGACATTATAATTATAAAAAAAAGAAGATGTGGTATGATTGCCAATGAGACAACTCTCCAAAAGAGACCAAAATGACACAGAAATTAACAACTAACTATAGGTCACCGCGTAAGCATGTCTTACTATGGCATAACATTTTTATGGCAGTGACAATATACAGCTACATCCAGTTTGATGAATCGATGTTACCACTGTGCTACAATCTTGTTGTTCTATTTCACATTTCTTTCCTGCTTTACAACAGTCAAGAGAGAACTGAGGAATGTTGAAAATCAGTTTACCAATTATCATGGTCAATTTGTATCGATTTAAAACTGTCTGAACATCGGAAGATAATGTTTATTCTTTACAGGTGAATCTGGTCACCATAAATCCTTCGAAAATGCTGACAAATACAAACTTTGAATATCGAACACGAATTCTTTGGCAATTACAAAAATATATGTCTCCTTTACGTTACATACTATTAAAAATACCAAATTTGTATATATTTTTATAAAACGTATTGTTCATTTGTAATGCCATATTTTTCGATACAATTTGACATTCAATCTAGCTGGGTATTTGCATAATATTGAAGTAGCAAAACTATTATGCAAACTTGTTGTCTTCCCATAAAGTGAGAACTGTAAATAATACCTTGTCCATCGGATTTCTTATGAGTAAGAAATCCAGGCTTTAGAAAAATTTAAAAAGTGCCTAGAATATCAACCAATGTTAGAGTTAGATTTGATTATTTACTTCCTCCCCAGCAGGGGCTGTATATATATTGACTGTGAAATAAAGACTGGCTAAACTTTTTGGGACATATTAGCAAATCGGTAACCTAATTTTGCGAAAAAAATGGACAGTATACATCCCATTTTAGCGAAATAAGAAAACACGTAGGTCACTTTACGGAAATTGCTACGTGTTCCTTCTATTATTTGTATTTAGATTGTAAGGATACAAAGTGGATGTGTTCATAAAACTTGTTTTTCTTTTTTGTTTCAATTATTTTTATTTATATTTAGTAATTAATACATGACTTCGAACAGTTTAATACTTCATCGTTTCTTGAAAATTCTTATATATATGTAGTCGAATAGACTACGTGCGTACTATAGTAAAACTTATAACGAACACACATTTCGCTAATCTGTGCTATAAAAAAGACATGTAAACATATAAATTCTGATGATTGAATTCAGCATAAAATGAATAGTACATCAATCTCATTCTTGTATTTTTCATCATACAATAGACAATTTATAACTAGTGCTTGCTGTATGGTGTGATTTTTACTAATTTTGTAAAGTCTCACAGCGACTTTAAGACGTTCAAAGGCATTGTTTTTCGTACCCGTACCTTTATCTTGATTGTTTGCCTGAAATGTTGAGGGATTCGGTATCATTGTTCTATTCTTTCTCTCGGTAGCACAATACAAAGATTATTTTACCCCTAATCAGACAACTTTAAACGGATGTAATCTCTTTCATCCAGCTTTAAATTTTATAGGGTACCAAAAGAAAGAAGAAAGATTAAAGTGCCATATCAGTCTAAATGTCGAACTATTTTTTTTATGGTTTTACTTCTTTCAAATAAATTTAGGAATCGATTGCAAAAAACCCGATTTCAAAATTCTGTGTATTTAAAATGATGAGAATTTCATTATGACATAATTATTACATAATTAGTTGCTATATTGTGATGTCCACACTTGAATGAAATAAGCTTCTTTGTTTTTCATTCCATCCCAAAATATTTTAAAGATTCTTGTACAACACAGTTTGAACTCCGAAACCATGTCTCAGATTTTCCCTATTGCATTTCATTCTCTCATAAACCTTCAATGAAGATGTCAACCTCAGTTTATAAGAGATCACTAAATTTAATTGGGTATAACATTTGTTCTATTGATGCTTTTTGGATCTGAGACTATATGTTGAAGATAACTGTTCAAGGAACAACATGTGTGAAAATCAGGCATATAGGGGCACACTTCTAGTACTGTAGCTAATTTCATATAAAACTACATTTTAATGTCAAAAATGAATGTGTCAAAATTGAATAAATAAGAATTTTCCTACTTGTACCCCATTTACTTCAATATAATTCACACATGTAGCATTTGGATACTTCAGGATTGGCCTTTCATCATAAATCAGTTAGGTTTTGACCAGTAAGAAAGCATTTCATTTCAGCAATTCTAAATATACAAAGAAAATGCAAACACCTACGCATCAATATACATCTGGCGGGAGATGTTATATCATCACTGACCTTGCTGTAAGTCACGGTTGCTACTGATATGGTCAAAACTCCGCTTGTTACGATAAACAGTTACAATAAATAATATCAGAAGTTTAATTACACATTGCATTTTCAATATTGATTTTATTCCTCTTAGTACATAAAATAATATATTTTGTTTTTTTGCATTCATTTTTGTTACAAAAAGTAAGTTATGCATGTTTAAACAAAATGATCAGTTGGTCAGTTTAGATGATCTTTATGGGGGATTTCTAGAAATATATATTGTATACAATGACAATATGGTGTTTTACTCCAAGTATATTTTTTTTTTATTTTTGCAGTTTGAAAATGAAATATTTAATGCTTTTAATAAGAATTCATATATATTACATTATCCTCAAGAAATTCTAGTATAAACATCAGCAACATTAATTGTTAAAAGAAGTAACAAAAACAGATGAAAATTAAATTTTGATAAAATTTAGTTGCTTTTGTATTGTGCTACCTTAAATATAATTCTAAGATAAGCATGATATAATTTCATGTAAATATTCCGAATATTTCATTAACTCTCTGAACTCGACTATCAATTATTTAAATCATAATGCTCTTTAATTTTCACCCATCCTAAACAAAATGTGGTTCTGATGGGCGTTATCCTTATTTGTGAATAGCCTTCAAAGTTGAAGAGTGATTGACAGTAAATATATAATAGAATCATTTGTGATTGACAGTAACCCCACCTTATAACCATATGGCACAATACAGCTTATGCTACATTTACTTTTGACCCTTTCGGGACTGTTATAACTTAAATGTAAATAATGTACATGTTTCAACAATTATAGCGTAATCTGTATTTTCTTTTGACCCTTATGGTACGTCAACTGGGCGCTTAAGCTGCATATGCTATTTATTACAGCATAGACTGCATTTAATATAGCATAGGCTGTATTAATTATAGCATATGCTGTATAAATTATAGCATATGCTGTATAAATTATAGCATATGCTATATATTATAGCCTAAGCGACATTAATTACAGCATAGGGTACATAAATTATAGCTTAAGCTGTAGTTTATATAGCATATGCTGTATTAAATGTAGCATAGGCAAAATAAATTACTTTTGACCCTTTCCGTACGCCATAGTTTATGGTATCTAGCTGTCTGTCTTAAAACCAATTTTATTTGCTAATTGAAAATTAAGCTGAATAAAATAATTTAAGACAGCAGAGAAGATAATTCTGTTTTAATTGTTTATTACTCAGACTTAAATAAAGAGTGAGCCATTTATACTGTAAACTTATGATGTCGCTAGTCTGGTCAAAGGGTCAGAGTGTCCTACTTAACCAAACGATAAATTGTTGAAATTAGATAACATGTTTTCACGTGCAGAGAAATTTCACTTATTACCAGTGCATGATTGGATTACATCTTTCTTATTGGTCAATGATCTTGCGGGGTCAGCACGAGTTCACGTGTAAGTGCGTTGTGGTCACTTCCTTTTATCATCAGCATTTGATGTGTTAACTTGTGATTCTTATCAAACAATTTGTTAAAAATTCCCACCCACATACCTCCCTTAATGTTATCTTTTGAAGTAGATATGTATATATGTTTATTTGTGGTGCAGATTTTTCTCCCCACCTTTGCTATTCTTTGTCATTTATTCAATTGATATGATATTAGTTGGTGTAATTTCGTATTAATTATGTACTATTATTTCATATTAAATATGAACTTTTATGTCAAATGTTTTATTTGCAAAATGTATTTTTTGCATTTTATGATTTGAATAAATGACCTTTTTTCGTCAGTTTAGTTTTTATATCATATAGCAAATCAGGCTCAGACTCTGGCCTGTGTATACATAGTATGTTTATGGTATCTAGCTGTCTGTCTTAAATAATTATATTATAGGTGAACGACTTCATGATCTAGATATATCTGTTGGACCTTCCCATAACATGATGTCATTGTGTAAACATTATACAGGACCAGCAAAAACAGGAGCTCATCTTATATTTGATTGCCACAGAACTATAAATGGTAGATACGTCAAGCTGATGATAAAAGGAAAAGAAATATTAAACATAGGGGAGGTCAAGGTGTATGCTATTGTATAGAGAACGAGTATCGATATATAGAGGGTCTGGATGGCGGTCGTTCATTTCTTTATTCTTAAATTTGTATGCCTTTTTCTCTATTCTTCATTGTATTGGTCCATTATTTTCTATTCTTCATTACTTCAGCACCCCAGTATTCTCTATTCTTTATTTATTTGGCCTAATTTTCTCTATTCTTTATATTTTTTGGCCTTTATTTTGCACTTTTTGCCCATTATTCTCTATTCTGTAAATTCCAGTCAGACCCTCATAGTAAAAGTAACACATAGCATGATGATAATTATAATTAGTTGTAATTAAAATTAGATAAATAAACGTTCATGATTTTATTCTTTTTATCTCCCTTTTTATTATATAGATCCTCTCGTATTCGGATTTTTTTTTTACATCTTTGACTTTAAAACTTTTGGGTTTGAGTGTTCCTGGTGAAGGTAAATCCGAAAAAGCGCTTTTGATGAAATTTATTAATTTATAGCATGATATTTTTCAGTCTCATACTTTTATATAAATAAAAAGACCTGGGTAAAGCACGAATCAAACACAACCAAAAAGAACACCTAGAGGTCAACATACGGGTTTCAACAATGGATACCTGCTACTCTTGTTTTTGCGTTTTGTCAGATATTCAGAATCCTCTAGTTTTATCCATGTAGTGCCAATAAAAATTTTGCCAGCTAACTCCTACTTTTCTTTTTATAATTTTATAACATATATATCTAAAAAGCAATTTTTTAAAATGTTATAAAATCCTTTTTATTTTTTCATAGATTTTGAGAGAAAATAGGAGCCAGTGTTAAATGTATGAAAAGTCTACAGAAAATCATTTCCCGCCAAATTTTTAAATGATTATATATCTCAAAAACAAGGACAAGGACATCTAATTTTGTTCTGCTTTTTAAGCACCGTTATTTATAAACTATCAATTTACAATGGTCTTTGAAAAAACTTGTTATTTTGAAACAGAGGAGCACACATCCTTAACAACCGAATCTATCAAATATATTTTTATACGATACTGTTGTCAGGTCATTAAAGATTGCATATTTTGGCTTTAATATTGATTCACTTATAGGGTCTTTGCATCGGAATTAAACACAATTTTATTCTAAAACCAGTTGTTGGCATGACACGGGTTATGTTTTTCTCATATATTTTATGACGGTATAATACTAAACCCCTAACAGGAGGGATTGTGCCTTATATTCATATGATGAAGACATAATCTTTCAATCAGTTTAATTGAGGTCTGGAGCTGGCATGCCAGTAACTGCTAGTAGTCTGTTGCTATTTATGTATTATTGTCATTTTGTTTATTTTCTTTTGTTTCCTATTCTGAAATCGGACTCGGACTTCTCTTATACTGAGTTTTACTGTGCGTACTGTTGTGCGTTTGTTTTTACTACATTGGCTAGAGGTATAGGGGGAGGGTTAAGATCTCAAAAAACATGTTTAACCCCGCCTCATTTTTGCGCCTGTCCCAAGTCAGGAGCCTCTGGCCTTTGTTAGTCTTGTATCATTTTTAATTTTAGTTTCCTGTGTATAATTTGGAGTTTAGTATGACGTCCATTATCACTGAACTAGTATACATATTTGTTTAGGGGCCAGCTGAAGGACGCCTCCGGGTGCGGGAGTTTCTCGCTGCATTGAAGACCCATTGGTGGCCTTCGGCTGTTGTCTGCTCTATGGTCGGATCGTTGTCTCTTTGACACATTCCCCATTTCCATTCTCAATTTTATTTTATAGTTTTATAGCTACCATGAATTTTAATCATTACTTCTTTAAGAAGACCATATAGTGAAAAAGAAGAAATAATATGTATCAAAACATGACACACAATCACTATTCGCACATGAAAGTAAAATACATTTGTAGCTCAAATAAGAAAACGAAGATATCATAAGAATAAACACGCCATAATGCAAGAGCATACATCTCAAGCATGGGAACACCTTTCGAGGCCATCACACAGGACGAGTGAAACACTCTATTATCTTGCCTGCTTCAAGTGAGGAGCCAGTAATTCAGTGGTTGTCATTTATTGCTGTATATGATATTTGTTTTTCGTTTATCGTTTTATACATTAATCAGGCCGTTAGTTTTCTCGTGTGAAGTGTTTTACATTAAAAAAAAAGTCATTTCGGGGTCTTTTACAGCTTGCTATGTGGTATGGGTCTTGCTCATTGTTGAAGGCCGAACGGTGACATAAACTTCTATGTTATTAAGTCTTTGGTGGAGAGTTGTCTAATTGGCAATCATACGACATCTTCTTGTTTTTATACCTATTTTATGATAAAAAAAATATTTTGAAGAAAAAAAATATGGAGAAGTAGAACATGATTATATCTCTTATAATTAACACAATACATTATAATGACAAACTGTTATTCAAATGTCTCTTTATCAATTTTGTTAATATTATAACTAATATTGCAACTCCCTCATTCAAAGTTAACCTTGCTCTAACACACTTTTGGCCGTTATGTTTGTGTCTTTTTGTAATCAACTTTTCAAAGTGAACTTTTATTTGGTTTCCTTAACCCTCTGGTCGCGAATGTTTCTGATGAAAGCAATTCCGATAATACGTATAATTTTGCAAACTGAAATCTATATCACACGTTTATTTAAGCCAATTTTATTGTTTTGCGATCGGAGAACAGTCACTGTGCAGATGGTCCGGTCACTTTGGTCAGTCTAATAACTTTTGGATGTAGGTCAAATAATTCTATTGGAATTGTTCTTACAAACGCAACATCACCCTCTATCAAGAAAAAGTTTGGGTAGCTCTTTAATTATATACAGTACATTAACATTTGTCGAGTTTTGCTTTGTTAGGCCAAGTCTTTTATTACTGTAAATTCAGAAATTATTGCGACGTTTTTATTATTGCGAAAAATGCGACAGGGTTTTAATCGCAATAATTTAATTAAACTCGCATTATTAATTTGTTTTATAGGAATTAAACAGGTTTTTCTCGATATCGCAAAAATTCAAATCGCATTTTAGTCTAAAATGACAAAATCGCAATTTTATTATAATAAATGCACGCAATAATTTCTGAATTTACAGTATTTATTTTGGGTTAGGCCACTGTTTATACATTTATATCTGCTAGTATTGTTTGTTTCTTTGTTACTTTGTGCATTTTGTCATTATGTTAGTTGTTTTGTTTTTCGTGTTCCGTTCCAATCTGATGAGCCAAGTCATTTCCGACTGATTTTAACAGTTTGTTCTAATCAGCGTCCCCGCCTTATTCTATTTGTTTGTCTCAAGTAAATTCAGTGATTTTCGTTGGTTACTGTCTGTCGTGTGACGTTTTTTTTCTTTTCGTTCAGTGTTCAGATCGTTTTTTTTTTTTTTTTTCGTTTAAATTATTTCGCATGTTGACCTATCGAGATCCGTAAAGTTAGTATTTGTTTTGCTGATTGTTGAAGGTCGTTGACTCTGTTGGATACTTGTCTCGTTGGCAATCATACCATATCTCCCTATATTTTACTGTAGGAACACGTTGCTAAATTTCTTTGTAACCAGAATATGTATTCTCAGTCTTGGATGTAACAAGAGTTTTGAGACCTCCTCAAGTTTCATTTTTAAGTAGAAGTTTTAGACGTGGAGGGTAACTTTTTATTATGTGATTATCATGATTTAGTAAAGTAATCAAACGAGTAAAGTAGTCAATTTTATATTAACTGACGGGACTCGGGTTGTTCAAATATAGTTGAATAACCAGACTGATCCTCACAATTTATAGGTAATTAGAAAACAAAATTCGTCATTATTTATTGATTTAATTTACACAAATATGTTATAGAATTTTCTCACAGTTTATGAGAAAACATTGTTAACTAAAAGTCTTGTAAATGTTTTTCTATTCCATTCTATATTTTGTTTTCATGTTCTACCATCAACCATACATTGATGTATTCTGAGACGTCGAATGATCTCAAATTTGATAAATAAGGAAAACATAAATAAATAATTTAATTTTGGATGTAACGCGTCTTTTGATTGGCTGACGGTGTTTTGTTTATCAGCTCATAGACATAATTCTGTCATGTGACCGTGACGTCATCAACGTTTTTTCATGGTTTACTCCGGTTTAAAATGGAATTTAGAATTAAATTATAAGAAATGACTGTAATATTTTTTCTGTCTATTCGAAATAACATAAAAAATGTGGTGCACACTTTAAAATAACTCGCTACGCGGGTTATTCAGTGTGCACCACATTTTTGATGTTATTTCTTCATAGACAGAAAAAATATTACAGTCATTCCTTAAATAAAAAACATTTAAGGTAATGTTATCACTAAAAACAATTTGGACAAAAAATAAGATTTGCATTTCTGAACGCATAATGTTAAGTATACAAATCTGTATAAGTGTGTAATGTCAGTACATGTTATAATGTTTTAATCAAAGATTTGTTGCGCCCTTAACAAACTTTTGGTCTATAGGATCAATTGGTTTGATGGGGGCCATTTCATATTCTCCCAGCTTCTTCGAAGACTGTCTTATAATTCTTTTCTTGGGGTCAATTTTGACTAAAGTGAATGCTCCAACAATACAGCTAATAAAAGCTGACATAAAAATAAAAGCGAGCGGCAGTGCTTGAAATCTTAGAGCCATCGGGTCAAGGGTCAGGCGGTCTGAGTGAGTGTTATAACGATTACCAATTCGTCCAAAAAATCCGATAACCACGAAACCAGTAAGGGAAAGAACTCCACCTGTAAAATCAATTTACATTTGTGAACTACAACATTTAAAATAGCAATTTACATTAAATCTAAATTTACATTAATAGATCATTTGGCTTAACTTATTACCATTGCTCAATAATTTGAAAACAATAGTTCGCGCATGATATTTATTTTAAAGGCAGATATGTTCTCTGTGTTTCCAAAATCTTTAATCATTATAAATTTAAAGTGATTGTTTAACTATGTATATGCTGAAATGTACTTTTTTTCAACTGTCAAAAGAAAATACTTCAGAGACATTCTTCTAAATTTGTTTTTTTGTTTGCAAGCTTTAAGACTTCCTTGATGAGATAAATGGTCAAGGTTAAAACCGACAAGAGAGACTTGAATCACCTATAGAATCCTATAGGGAAATACATGAACATTCATGGCTACAAATTCCCTTCTTACACTATTGTTCGTCGTTTTCTATTACATGTAAGCCATGGTGCAAGTCGGTGATATCATCCGCCTGATGTCTTTATCTTTTTTAATATTCTTTGTAACTATAAATATTTAAGCCTGAATACTAAGTGACAGGACAAATTAAAAAAATATTTTAAATATACATTGTACACGATACAAACAAGATCAATCCTTTTTTCCGTATCTATACTGGTTGTACAAATAAGTTTTGTATATACCGACAGTTAACGTATTTTATATTTTGTATCAAATAATAGAATAATGTAAATGATATGCTTAATATACGTACCAGCTATACCGCTGAACAATAGAGCAGCCATTCTGAACTCCCTTCTTGGTTTATATATAAGTAAACATATGGCTAGTAATGTTGCGGCAAAACAAAATAATCCCACAATTATCATCAATCGAACAAAATTTATCCAACCTGAAAAAGGTACAGGAATATAAATAATAATCTGATTATAAGTTACATAACAATAATAACAACAACAGTAATAAGACAAACAAAGAGACAAACAGGAAAAACTGCAACATACAATAAACAAACAAACGAACTAACAATAAAAAAAGAAAACGAATAAAAATTAACACTTTCGGCATTGTATAATTTATTTTATTATTAATAATTAACCATTTATATAAAAATAAGGAGATGTGGTATGACTGCCAATGAGACATCTATCCACCAGAGTTCAAATGAAGTTGATGTAAGCAATCATAGGCAACCGCCCGTTGAGCCTTCAACAATGAGAAAACCCATACCGTTTATATAGTCGGCCGTGAAAAATGTGCAACAATTCAAACGAGAAACCAACGGTCTAATTTATGACAAAATAATCTACGAAAAACAAATATGACATACATAAATCAAAGACAACCACTGAACTACAGGCTCCTGACTTGTGACATGCACATAAAGAATTGGCGGGGTTAATATAAATAAGAAGATGTGGTATGAGTGCCAATGAGACAACTATCAATCCAAGTCACAATGTGTAAAAAGTAAACAATTATAGGCCAAAGTACGGCCTTCAACACGGAGCCTTGGCTCACACCGAACAACATGCTATAAAGGGCCCCAAAATGACTAGTGTAAAACAATTCAAACAGGAAAACCAACGGTCTAAACATGTTTTTGGCGCTCAAACCACCCCTAACCTGGGACAGTGGTGTAACAGCACAACATAAGAAAAAAAATAAGTAGCAATCGACTTAACTCAAAAGATCAGTACGAGAAACAACTAACGTAAAAGCATCTATAGAAACATAGACCCAAAATAAGAGTTCTCGTAGTTGCTGAATGCTAGTTCAAACCAATTACAACAAAAAAGAACTGTGTATTTCCCCTTTTTCGTTACTCACATTACTCTTTTGTTATATTTTCTTTTATCAAAAAGAGAAATACTATGTATACACGGACATTTTTTTTCTGGTGCACTATTTATATGATCAAATATAAAAATAAAGAGATGTGGTATGATTGCCAATGAGAAAACTATCCACCAGAGTTTAAATGACGTAGATTTAACATAGTATTATTTGGGGCAAAATTGTGCTCCTAGTTCAAAAAATAAACGACCCACCCCACCACCATCCAGACCCTCATACATTGCATTAAAGTTCATGGCCTATCAGAAATTTTCTTTTCGTCTCTCGTTCCACGAGAAGATTTAGTCATGTTCTGGTGTCTGCGTTAGACTTGCATATTTCTTTAGAATAATTCAGACAAAATTCTGTCCACGTTTATTACGTTGCTTCGAAAATTTTGTATTATTATCGTTAAGAGCAAAAAGAGTGACGTTTCAATAATGCAACTATCATTTTCATTCATCTTCTGCAATCGGTTAAACGCATCGCATAAGAACAGTATTCTGTCCATGAAAATTGTGCAATATGATATTAAGACCGAGTGACTAAGTGTACAATTTGCTCTGTAGATCTTTAACCAGATAATAAACTACTATCAATTGTATTTCTAAAAGCAATGTAAATTTACCTGCAGTGTTGGCAGTTGAAACTAGGCAAACTCCGTCGTTACAATCTACCATTTCCCATAGACAAAAATGAGCTTTAGAGTCACCATCTCCTTGCGTCCACCAATTTATCGCCGTTCCAATGCTTAGAAAAATTGCAGCAAGAACAATTAAAAACAAATTGAACTGGTGTTTTTGTGGCTCCAAAATTCGGCTTACCATTTTTATTTAGCTTAATGTGACAACTGGTTTTATTTTGAAATACTGTATTATATTTTGTCGTCTGAGCACAATAAGTTTTAAAAGGTTCTCTCTGGGTATCAATTGACGTATTTGTTCAATTTTCTAAAAAGTATTACATCTAAAGTCGAAGCATATGATATATAAAAAAAGAGGCGGATGATACCCGCAAAAAAATTGAAAACAAATATTTAATTTTTAATTTTACAGAACATTTTATATAAAGGCTTAAACAGGCTCAATTTGATTTATATTCACTTATTTTTCTTTCAATTTATAACAATCCCTTTGAAGAACCTCATTTTAAAAGCATCCTGTTTTAGTGGATCACGGGAAATGTCTACTTAGATATACACGATATACATGTATTTATCTTACTTTAGTTAAATGTGTTTCATAACTGAAAGTTTATCCCTTGTGTGAACCTCATAAAATCTGAATTTCCTGCTTACACTGATTATGCAATGCAACAACTACAGTAAATTGTAAAAACATTAGAATGTACTTGTATGAATATAAAAATAAACTAACTCAATTAACCCCCCCCCCAACCCCCTACCCCCCCCCCCCCCCATTCCCCACACCCCCCTCCCCCCAAAAAAATATACTAGTATTTAACATACATGTAATCGATCGTTAGGTTCTGTGTGCATTTAGGGTCGAAAGGGATAACAAAAAAAAAGTTAAATGTGTTTTGCGCTGTCTGTAGTCTGGATAATACATTAAATGAATGGATTTCGATCAAACTTGATTGTGTTTAAAACAGACACCATTCCCTAATACTAGACTGGAGAAGTTTAAGTGAAAATAAATTAATTCTATACCCATGTGACTCTTGCTTGTGCAAACAGTATGTGTTGGTTGCCCTTTTCCTTAAAACTTCACAGCGTAGACCTTTTTGTTCTTTGTTTAGTTTTAAATATTTCTTATTAACTCACTTTTTCTTAATCATCCCATGACCCCACCTATGCATAACAAATTACATTCATGTAATTTCTACCATGTTTATAGTAGCAATTGTTTTATTTGTCTTGATGAATTGTTCAAACGGAAGAGATTAATCACAGAAGCATATTTTGGTTCGCTTAGTTTAACGAGTAGTGAAAGAAGCAACAATTAAAAATTGGGGCCCGAGTGGTTACATTTTAATGAAGGGAGGAGGAAGGAGCCAAACCTTCTATTATACTAAATTCTAATATTTAAGATATTATTAAGAAAGTAAGCTGGTTAGCAAACTAACATAAAAGATTGACATGCATAGACATCTATTGACTATTTGGGATATTGAAAATTTAAAGTCTATCGGAAATATCGTTTGGTTTGCTTGAATTCAGAAATTGGAATTAAGTGCCTGCTAAACTTCATGGGCGTTGGAGATAGGGGCAAAACTGACTTACTTCTAGACTATTTGACTATTGAAAAGTTTATCTTTTTTTTTGCTCTCCACTTTTAGAAGTAATATAACCCAAATGTAAAGCACTGCGCGAATTGCTTTACATTTGGGTTATATTACTTATTACTACAGTCTCTGCTTCTATTTCCTTACCTTTCTCAACTCTAAAAATGTTTGTAATTATATCAGTTTAAATTGCTTGGTTCTATTCATTTTGGAGGGATGTAAAAGTATCCAGTCACGTTCAACTATTTAACCTCAGTCGAAATTTTATTATTATATTTTTAACTGCTATTTATTTGGGATGTTTAAATACGCAGCCTCTGTTGTAATTACTCTACCGTTGTCAAATTTGAAATATTTACAAACTTAGATCGGTCATTGCTGTTTATTTGGAATGTTTATTCACGCAATCGTTCTTGTAACATCGTAACTGTCGTCACCTTTTAAATTTTAGAATTGTGCCAGTTCATATCGCACATTACTATTTTTATTTGAAGCATATCTTTGCAGTCTCTGTTGTAAATAGCTATATAACCTATTTCATGTTTAAAATTTTTAGAATTGTACAAGCGTCTAAACTATGATGTTCGGTTTAACTGTTTTATTGTATAAATTTCACGATTGTTATAGTTTAGTCAAAGTAGATTGATATGATTCATTTGACATCCATGATCATAATCATACTGATGAAGGATATCTGTTATCCGAAATATTTATAAATGATTACATTTATATTTTTCTTTTTTTTGTTATTGGTGTTGTTTTGTACACTTTTCAGGCGTTTATATAATTTATTTATTGTGTACATGTATCGTTACTCATAACGATCCAGCGCCCTCGTGGGAAAGATCGTTGACTATTATTCAGACGTTTTATATATATATATATATAATATAAGTACATGTGTGTACGTCTAAACAAGTTACAACTCCATCCATTGGATCACCAGTGAAGGTGATACACTGCTGAAAACACATATTATATTCATAATTACTCTAAATATCTGCACAACAATGCTAAATCTGCAGAAGCAAATTTTTATTGTTTCTGAAATTGATTGCAGATTAGCTAAATTATCTATCGTAAACGATCGTAAAATGCAGTACGTCTAAACAAGTGACAACTCAACGATAGATCCATCCATATTAGACCCCTCTACCAAGAAATTTGTTTTGCATGCACACGTATAAAAATTGCTGTTTTTATCCAACGGAATCATAGGTTTGAACGTTGTTTTCAATTTAGACTTATTTATATATATATGTACATGCAAAACAAATTTCTTGGTAGAGGGGTCTAAATACAGCACAAACAACATTTTCCAAAAGACTAAATGAGTGAAAAAGTATATTTTAACAAAACGCATTTGACTAGCAGGTCGAAAAACTGATGTTCTTAAACCCTGCTGACTGCCATTGGCGATTGCCAAATAAACGGATTACAAGATGTAACAAAATAGAACTTATTATTCATTTATTACCAAACAGAAAACAATAAACTTGCGGAAAAGATGGTATACCGCAAACATGAGGTGCAAAAATGTGTACACCATATCCGGAATTCGACAATTAATGTCTCTTCAGTGATGTTAGGAATCGAAACGGTATTTGGAAGGCCATATAATTTACCTCAATTTAGGAAAGACTCTTAAATTTTGAAAGAGTCAAAATAGGATGAACGGATCATATAAACCCGAAGGCAAATATAATACAAGCCCAAACGAAAAAATATGAACAAGTCTAAATTGAAAACAACGTTCAAACCTATGATTGCGTTGGATAAAAACCGCAATTTTTATTCGTGTGCATGCAAAACAAATTTCTTGGTAGAGGGGTCTAAATTTTGCCTTCGGGTTTATATGATCCGTTCGTCCTATTTTGACTCTTTCAAAATTTAAGAGGCTTTTCTGAATTGAGGTAAATTATATGGCCTTCCAAATACCGTTTCGATTCCTAACATCACTGAAGAGACATTAATTGTCGAAATCCGGATATGGTGTACAAATTTTTGCACCTCATGTTTGCGGTATACCATCTTTTCCGCAAGTTTATTGTTTTCTGTTTGGTAATAAATTAATAATAAGATCTATTTTGTTACATCTTGTGATCCGTTTATTTGGCAATTGCCAATGGCAGTCAGCAGGGTTTAAGAACATCAGTTGTTCGACCTGCTAGTCAAATGCGTTTTGTTAAAATATACTTTTTCACTCATTTAGTCTTTTGGAAAATGTTGTTTGTGCTGTATATATATATATATATATATATATATATATATGAACTTGCATATGATAAATATGTATACGAAATTGTGTTTTATGAAACCAATGCGTAGGCAGAACTCCGTGATATGCCCAAGGTCAGCAACTGAAAGCATTCATTAAGAAATGCATCTAGTTTGACCATATCGTCGTCCTTTTTAAATTGTCCGCGTGATAGTAACCATTTCCAAATATGAGCGTTTAAAAACTGAGATCATGTTCTTGAAAATGTTTTTATGTACAACAATAGGTGAGAAATGACTACTCTTAATGAATTAGCACTGATGCACGTGTATTATATATTTACACTAATACATGTACCTTGATATGATAGTTTACACCGTTTTCGGGCATCATGATAATGTGATATGATCAGAATATAAATATAAAAAAGAAGATGTGGTATGATTGCCAATGAGACAACTCTCCACAAGAGACCAAATGACACAGAAATTAACAACTATAGGTCACCGTACGACCTTCAACAATGAGTAAAGCCCATACCGCACAGTCAGCTATAAAATGCCCCGAAATGACAATCTAAAGCAATTCAAACGAGAAAACTAACGGCCTAATTTATGTACAAAAAATGAACGAAAAACAAATATGTAACTCATAAACAAACGACAACCACTGAATTACAGGCTCCTGACTTTGGACAGGCACATACATACAGACCCTGCTTTGTACTGATCTGACACACTCAACCTGACTCTTAACGTGCTTTTCACAAGGAAACAGTCCACAGGTAGACATGTCAGCCTACGCGGACACATTCTTTATTCTGACTTCGAGTCGACCACTCAAAGTTCGAACTCCGAAAATCCCGCGTACCTAGCGTAGAAGCAGCAAATACGTTTTTCCAAGTCTAATGGTTTGAACCGGTTGGGGCTCGAACCCACAACTTCCCGCAATCGAGGTAAGCACGCTACAAAAAGACCACGAGGTGGTCAAAGAAAAATAAAATTAGAATCAATTTTGTAAACCATGTGTTCCATTTGTTTTGTTACTACCTATAATGACCTTAATATCAACTAAGAAAAATGAAATATTTTGAAAGTTCCTTTTAGTGACAACCCCTGAAAAACTTCTAGATCCGCCGCTGTTGCTCCATACAAGCATTTGACAAAAACAAAATAAGGAACGGGATAGAACTTTACTTCTGTTTTCCTAACGTTTGCATGAAATTATTTTATTTAATATGTTATCGAGCATTCCTTCTATAACATGATATAATAAGCAAGCTGTGTATTGACACGGGGTTCTCTTCCTATATAAAGGTGTACACAGATGTGCCGCTGGTATGGGTAACTTTTTAACTCACCTGGCCCAAAGGGCCAAGTGAGCTTTTCTCATCACTTGGCGTCTGTCGTCCGTCGTCGTCCGTTAACTTTTACAAAAATATTCTCCTCAAGACTACTGGGC